GGGGGGGGGGGGGGGGGGAATTGAGGAAGCCGGTCAGTGACGTTCAGGTCAAACTGTGCAAATCTGACTAAGCTATCTGCCTGTATAAAAGAGCAAAAACTGAACTGCTGAACAATGGAAAGAAAAAAGTTGGTGTCTTGAGCCCTACCTTGAGGTAGGACACACCAAGGGCCAGGAGCCTTTCTTTGAAAAAAATAAATAAATAAAATAGCATTTTGTAGTCTTTTTAGAGGGAATGTAACCATTTTGCTGCTGAATGCAATCGAATGGAATGCCCACATTGTTAAGTGGGTGAATTGAGTATCTTACTCAAATGACAACGCGGTGAGCAGATTGATGGCTGTAAGCTGGCGCTCAGCACTCCTATGGCTCATCTAGTCCTGGTACCATTTAAAGGATTAAATGGAGAGATGACGTGGCCATGTCCTGATGCTATTTTTATGAGAGCCAGTCCCATACTTGTTTACCTCCATAAAAAGGCCAATAGGAATCGAAGTGCACGGCTGGGGAGGGCCGGGGTATGCGTGCCTCATGTCCACAATAAACTTGCAGATAGTCACTCTTCCAGCATAAAAGACAGGTAAGTGGAGAAGTGGTAAGAGTTTCTGTCACTGATGAGACAGTGGATCATCTCCTGAAGGAGGCTGGTGAGGCTATCTGCCAGGAGGTTCCACAGTCCATCTGGAGATGGACCAGTGCTGGTAACCCTCCCTCTGCCAGGAGATTGTTCTATGCATGCGGTATTTGACGGGGGAGACGTGGCCTTTGACAGAACCCATGCTGTGCTGTAGCAACAAGGAAGAGTTTTGCGTTCTTTGCATTTAAGCTTCACAGAATTTCCTGTTGTGGGCTGTGGAAAACCAGTAGCAAAATGGTTCACGGCACAGGGAAAATGAGTGGCACTTCATGAAATGAATTAACTGATACCACAATATTAGTTCAAAAAAAGGCGAGGCAAAAAACTGAAACTAAAAAGAACTTTCTTAGGGGAGCAAAGGGGGGCAGGAAGGAGGCGGGGAAGAGTGTTTCATGCTTCTCAATGTGATGTTATCCTGACAATGTATACCCTTAGGGAGCATGCGACTCAATTTCAAAAGTATTACGTACAGAGATTCAAATGACACCTTTGGAAGAGAGGAGTGTGACAGACTTAATTATATTTGAGATCCAAATAGAGGCTGAACTCAATACGATAGCAGCTGGGAGGAGACTAAGCATTCTGCTTACAGAGACCAGTCTTGGTTATTTATTTCTTTGACTGTTTTCAGATGGGATCGACATAATATATTAACAACCAAAGGAACTTACAACTATAAAGTCTCTGACACGGTAACAGGTAAAGAAAAAGTACTGTCACAAATGGATCTTTTTTTGGGGGGGGGAGGGGTTGTTGTGGTTGTTAGATTTTTCTCTTTGAGCTTTCGAAATGTGAAATACAGTAAAACCCCTTTATAACACAGCTCGGTATTTTACAGCTTTGGAAGTGCGTTGGGCCGGATTGCGTGGCCATGTCAACAATTGCTCCTTCCGGGTCAAGGGTTGATGTCACCTGGCAGGCCTAGAGGCTGCTGTGGGCCTGGTCCCTTTAGCGCCGGTGTTATAAAGGGGTCCCACTGTGTCAGGGAGTGTGTGTTGGGAAGGAAAGCCGTTTGGGGGTGGAAAATAAACAGTGGTTCAAAACGTGATTGCTAATCAGTACAAAAAGACCTTCAGCGACTGACCTTACTCCCGGAGTCCTTGGCTCCACACTCCCCCTTATCGTACCACCATTTGTTTTTCAGCTTGTCTAAGATGCCTTGTTCACTGAGTTTCAATACTGCAAGGTTTACAGGCGTTCTTCACGTGGGAAATAACATAAATAACATTATATTATGTTATTTTATGTTATTCAAGCTTCAAACTACTTTAAAACTATAGAAAGCGATAAAGCAGGGGGCCCTGGCCACAGAGTAATTTTAGACACTGCAGGCAACCTGAGCATTACCTTATAAAAAGTTAACACTACAGCAACGCTATGTTTACCAGGGCCTGCCCATATCGCTTTGAGTAATCGGCACACACTGTTAAATAATGAGGATACGAAAAAACAAAGGCACTCCTCGGATAGGCTGTGTGTGGTGAGGGGGGGGTCTCCCCTCAGGTGACAATCGTCGGCGGCAGCTTGCGGTAGCTTTGTGACGGAGGTGGGTTAGGTTTGATCTAACCGGGTGTCTTGTTGTACTTCCAGACAGAAAGCGAGTTCTATGGAGGAGTGGGGAAGGGGATGGGGCTGGAAGGGGAAGCGTTTCCATGTGCGGAACCAGACAAAGGGATGACTCTGAATAGAATAGGATATGGATTCTACGTGAGTAACATGCCTTCTGACCAGTTGTCGTTTAGTACACACAGCTGTCGCCCAGATGCACATGATCTCAGAAAGAACCGTACTGTACACGTGTCGTCACTCCACCCTCATGCACGGACCGGTCTTAGGAGTGATAGTATAACGTGGAGCTCTGAGTTTTGGATGGGGGCGCTTTCAACAACAAGAGAACTGGCCCGTGGCTTCTTTTTGTTACTGACTGGCTGTCTCTCTGATATGGCCGAAGGTCTGCAGTCAGCTCAGATGACCGGAGGGTGAAGCAGGTTGTTTAAAAGCGGATTATTAATATGGCCCGGTCTAAAATGGCCAACTGTGGGTAGTATCGTAGAGGAACACTTTAGGTAAGCTGTTCTAGTAAGAGAATACTGCTTCAACTGAGAGGCTGCTGCATCCCCAGGAGGCCAGCCATGGCTCCCTAGCCCTCCACCTCTTAAAGTGCAAGGCCTGCAGTCAGAGCCACTGAGCAAACGCAGGAAACCCTACTGGTCCCCAGGTTAAGATTTCTTCCCTTCGCAATTTCTTCAGCTGCAAAATAGGAATAATGACCTTTACCTTGTCATCTTTCTAGAGCTAATGAATTTTAAATCAAGCATCTCTCACAACTTCAGATAACAAATGCAATATATAGAGAGGGTGGCAGAATTGTGTTACGAGGCAATAAACTACCGTGTGTTCAGATTCACATGAGCAATACTGCCAATACCAGAGCGTGTTATTCTGAATGCCACCAACTTACGAGAAGGAAAGCAGACACGTTTCTGTTACTATGGACATGGCATAGAGTTTCTTAGCTTATCTGGGATAAGTTGGACCCACCAACATATCCACTCACTGGTAAGACTTTCTATAGTCCCAGAGATCTGGCCTCTATCAGACTCTGACAGACCCCAAGCCTGTTTCCTTTCTTTCCCCCTTGGCTGTTGAGAGCAGAGAGACCATCTCATCCTGAGACATTCTGAGAAATGTATCATCATTTAAAACAATATGCAATTGCAGAGTACTTGAGATTTGAAAAACCGTAAACCTTGAGTGTCAGAGAGATGACCCTTTCTCGGTTGGTGCTGGGCCTGGCAGCCAGGACATCTGCATTTTGTATCTCACCGGCAAATTGAGGTCCTTTTTATTCTTTAAACAAGTTCCTTCAATCATTGCCCAGAACCCTAGCCTTCTCAAATGCCAACCAGATTTGCTTGGGATGCAAAGCAACAAAAGATACTCAAATAAAACTTTGAGCCTCTTTAAAATATTCTTGGCAGTGAAAGTCAAGTCTTAGACTTTTAATCTTATTTATTTATTTATTTATTTATTTATTTATTATTTATTTATTTATTTGTTTATTTTTAAAAATGTTTAGTTTTTAAGGAATCTCTACACCCAATGTGGGGCTTGAACTCATATCCCTGAGATCAAGAGTTGCACGGTCTACCAACTAAGCCAGCCAGGTGCTCCAAGTCTAAGACTTTAAAAAAAAATTTTTTTTTTAATGTTTATTTATTTTTGAGAGAGACAGAGACAGAATGTGAGTGGGTTAGGGGCAGAGAGAGAGGGAGACACAGAAGCAGAAGCAGCCTCCAGGCTCTGGGCTGTCAGCACAGAGCCCGACGCGGGGCTCGAACTCACGAGCTGTGAGATCATGACCTGAGCCGAAGTCGGACGCTCAACCGACTGAGCCACCCAGGCGCCCCAAGTCTAAGACTTAAAGGACGGACAGGCCATTTGTGGCCCTGAGATCAGTGTTGGAACTGCCTTCTCCCCTGCTTCCTGCTGTCTGGCCCCCTTTGGTTTCTCCTTTCCCCTTATAGGTTTTGTGTTATCACCACCTCTCCCCCAGTGCTCACTGGCACACAGGCTCAGATGGCAGGGGGATGCTTCCCAATAGCACCTGGGTGCCCGATTCCATCAGGACCACAGGAAAAATCACAAAGCATGTTCCTTCCCCTTTCTGTGCTTCTCCTTGTCTTCCTGCAAAGGGCGCAGTGTCCTCATCCTGCTCTCTAAGTCCTTACCAGTCCCTGTCCTCCCTCAAAGTACTATGTTCTTCAAATGACTTCACCCCATTTCTTCAGTACAGTGGCTCTCACTAGATCTCAGGAACAGAGCAGACTGGTCTAAGGCACTCACACTATGGTCCAAATAGCGATCTCTCTCTAGAGATCCTGGGTTTTAAAGAAGCTTGTCAACCATCAGGGGAACGAGGTTGATAATAGTGTTTGTTACATGTTAGCTCAGAGTAATAGTTCTCAACGTGTGGTCCAAAAACCCCTGGAGAAATCCCTGAAACCTTTTCATCAGAGGGTCTGCCTGGTCAAAACTGTTTTTATAATAACACTAAGACATCCCTCACCCTTCTCGCTCTTATTGTCTCATGAGGTACAGTGGGGTTTCCTGGAGGCTTCATGACATGTGATATTGCAATGAAAAAGCAATTGAATGAATTGCTTGAATTGAATTGAAGAGAATCCGATTCTCTTATAGGAAGCCAGATATTAAAGAGATTTGGAAATCATGGGACTCCTTACTAATTTTGTTTTGGAAAAGTATAGTTTTCATAAAAAGCATGTTATTTATGTTAACATATATTGGGTTTTTTATTTTTAAAATAAATTAATGAGTACATTCTTTTAAAATTCCATTTTAATTTCAGATACGGTAAATATTAGTAGGACACACATCAACAAAATCTTTTTGGAGTTCCCTATACTTTTTAAGTGTGTAAAGGGGTCCTGGAACAAAAGAAAGTTTGAGGAGCACTGGTTTTGGAGGATGGAAGGCTTTTCCCGTGCCGGGGCCTGTTCTGGGTTGCCACCGTCCGCTCTTACCAAAACCCAGGCTCAGTAGGCCAGCAATTTGGGGTCCTACTTCTGACAAATGGCCTGTCCCTGGTGTGGGCCATCCGGTGGCTTCCACAGAATGGCAGCTAACTGCTCTCCGTCGCTACGGCCTCCGCGGTCACAGTGGAGGTGAAGTTAGTGCAATGGTTCTCAATCAGAGGTCATTTTGTCCTCCAGGGGGATATTTGGCAAAGTCTAGAGTCATTTTTCATTGTCACAGCTGGGTGAGGGGGCCCTGCGGGCGTCTAGTGGGCAGAGGCCAGGGATGCTGCTCAACGCCCCACTTGGCACAGGACAGCGGCCACAACTAAGCCCCGAGTGTCAACTGTGCCGAGTTTGTCCCAGAGCAGCCAGACCTCATCCAATGCCCAGGGACGTTAGAGAAATCTGACAAATGATATACTTTTAGAAGTTTAGTCTTTGGGGAAAAAGAAAATCGCAGGGCTTATGAAATCTGCAGCAAACCAATGGGCGTGTGGGAACTTCTAAATAAAAATGAAGGAGAAAAACAAACATTCCAAGCAGCAGCGCAGCCAAGGAGCATGAAAACGGTCATCAGAAATCACAGATAATACCACTGAACAAGGTGAGGATAGCTGCCAAGAAAAGAAAATACTTTAAAGGCCCAAATCTCCTAGAACTGTTGGTTGCTGCAGGGGGGAATAAATTTCCGAGATGGCAGAGCAAAACTGCCATTTTCTCTCTTACTGTACTTTACTGGATGTACTGCCCAGATCAATCCAAATCAAATGAATGTGTTGACACCCTCCCCCAACACACACACACACACACACACACACACACACAATTTGGTATTTTAAAGAAAGAGGAATTAGGTGGGCATTTGGTCATTTTAAACATCACTTTCCCCATGAAACCATTTCTCCCCACCTCAATATTTTCTTCCCTCCTTCATCTTCTTCCTGGCCTTATAATTTATACCCATGTCTTGTAACTCCCACTAGACCATGTGCTTTCCAAGTGCAGGGACCATGGCTTAGGTATTTGCATCCCTGCTTAGAATCATTCTCTCAACAAATACTTGTTTTGAGTAGATAACTCTCTTTTAGTGCTTTGTTTTCAGCCTGGTGTTTTACAAAATTATCATAATCATTGTAGTTCGAGCTTAACGATTACTCTAAGAAGGTAGATTTATGGTCTCTACTTTGTAAGTGAAGAAATTGAAGCACAGATAGGTTAAGCAATCTGCTTAAACTTGCACAGCAAATTATGGGGCAGGCCAGAGGGCAAATTACTATATATTCAACTCTGCACTGTGCATTCTCCAATGGAACACACAAAAGGGTAGCAGTGCTCCTTAGATTTGTTCTTTGCGCTTGGATGTTCATAATGAAGTTTGTCTTTGGGGACCACCGTACTCCAAGTAGCTCTCAACCTAGCAAGGGCATATCTTGCAGCGGGCCGTTCAGCGTGCTGCGGCTATATGTCTCCAGGGGAATGTTTCACAGCAATTACTGCAGGCCCTTAACTAGTACCTAAGAGAATTATAAGTCAGAAATATTTATTGTACTCACCTCAATAGAGAACAGAAAGAATTTAAAAAGTAGGTCAGATTCCTATCATGGAAATTACTCAGGAATTCTCCCCTCTGAAGGGCTGGCTACGAACCTTCTGCTGAGTAC